CGTGTACCCCACACTGACGGCGCTGCCGCGCGGGCGTGTACCCCACACTGACGTTTCTCCCATTTCCGGAGGAATTTTCTGAACACTTTCTTTTGCAGCATTGCTGTACTGGCTTTTTTTTTTTTTGACCATTCTTGCTGGGGCAGAGTTTCATATTAACATGGAAATTGACACACTTCTCCTAGTTAATAGTTGGTTGCTGTTGAATTAAATAAATTTAGAAAATTCTCTAGCTGACTGTTGCGGGCCTGTGTGCAACCCCACACCCCTCAATGGGGGGTGTCAGTGATGATAATGCCATTGAACATTAAGGGTGATAGATTCTTTCTTTTTGGAGATGTCGTTGCCTGGCAACTGTGGGACACATGCCCTTTCCTACTTTCATGTTTCCAGGATATGGACCCATAACAATCAATTTGCCAATAAGCAATGAGAGAGTAGTATAACAGAGAGGTTACATAATGGCTGGTGTGGGAATTGAAACATGTCACATTGGTGTGTTATGAATTTGAGGCTGAGGCACCTAGTTGTTATTGGAGTAGAGGAATGTTTACTTTCCGTCTAGGCTGTGAAAAGTTTCTGAAGGGTTCATTGCGGAACTCGTATTGTTTCATTGTCTCACAGGGATTGCTCGAATTGTGGAGACTCACCAGCCCATCGTCGAAACGTACTATGGACCTGGGCGGTTGTACACACTTATTAAATACCTACAGGTGGAGTGTGATCAACAGGTTGAAAAGGTGGTGGATAAATTCATTCAGCAGAGGGATTATCACAGAAAGGTGAGTCAACGCTCCTTTGTCTCTGTACATTCTAAAATGTTTTGCACTATTCTTTTGTCGGGTATACACTTGGTCCCATTAAGAAATGATTGTGGATTAAAAGGAGGCCGTTCAGCCAACATGTCATATTGAAAGGGCTGTTTGATAGATGCATGTTCCTGTCATTTCCCTAAAGCTTTACAAATATTTTCCCCTCCAGTCCTTATTAAATTTCCTACTAATTTAGTTTCAACCACCCTTGTATACAGTGTGTTCCAAATCACAAAAGCTTGCTGCACAATTAAAAAAAAGTCTTAATCTGGGGTGCTGAGCGGTAGCAGCAGGTCAGTGAACAATTTTGGGTGTGAATGCAGATCTAAGACACAGAACTGGATTTTATGAAAGATCAGAAGCTAGACTACGTGTAATCAATATTAAGGGATCAAGATTTTTCCCTTGTTTAAATTACCGAATTCCCTTGCTCAAAATGTAATTTTCCTCATCAAATATCAACTTTTCCATCTTGATTTTGGGCTGGAAGGAAATATTGTCTGTTATTTGACTTATTTTGTGCATTGCCAGCCCGGGACATGTTCTGATGTAAATGATATGGAAAATGTTACTGTTAGAAATACATAGACAACTATTCAATTGGAATAACGCAATTTAAAAAAAATTGAATCAATTGGCCATATGTTAAAACATTAAGACTAGAGAGAATGACAGTTACTTCCTCCGTTTTCTCTCCTCATCTGAGTGTGATTTCACAGGTACTGTCAAAGTTGCAAGGCATAGTCGGTGTTATGGCTGGATTAGGGTTAACTGTTATGCTTTGCTCAGGATACTCACCAGTAATGGTAGGCTGGATGCATGTATACATCAGAACGGATACTCAGCTGGTTCGGACTTAAGAGGTCAAATAATGTCAATTATTATCTGACCCTCATCCTTTTACCTCAGCAACGCTGGGTCAACTTTAGAAACTTTGTGTCCTGTCAAGCTTAATTAATTTAGCACAGACTAGAGATCCAGGCTTGTGTTTCATCACACACTGCACCTTGCTATCAAACCCACGTGGGACAGAATACATTTAGAACCCATTTGTCATTAATGAGATGTTAGGCAACCCCAGTGAGTGGGATAGAAATCTTAACCAGTGGTTCCTTATCATCTGCATATGGGTGTGTCACCTATGAATAGGTTGCTTAAGCTTTGTTTTGATGCTGTATTTGTTTAGCCAGGTGTGTTATACTTACTTTTGTGTCCAATACTTCACATGACAATCAGTCCTCTAGGCTACATCCCCCACAAGCGACCATTCTCTGGTCTTTTCTTCACATGGTCATATTCAATTCGGAGTAATAGGGAGCTATTTGGCTTAATGGACAAATACACCAGAGTTTGAGCTTATTGTTACAATGCAATAAACATGGCTTTCTTTTATCATCCCCCACTTCAGGGCCAGTTGCAGGATCTGCACTAAAACAAATCATTGTAGTACGATGTGGTGCCGTATATCCCTATTTTGTTGCTTCTGTAAAGTAGCACCATGTGGCATGGATTATGCTTTATCCAGAAGGGCAGGCAGACTGAGACACCCTGTCTGCTGGGAGGTTTGTTTGTGTGGGGGTATGTGACCTAAGCTATTTTTTACTTCCATTATTTTCTATCCCAATGAAAGGCAACTAACCTCTGGTTGGCATTCTCTTTCTGTGGGATTGTGTGTAAACTTGTGTCTAACATAGAGGTGTGTGGTGAAACAATGGCCTGATGCTGATTCTGGTTTTACAGTTACTATTTGGAACTGAATTCTTAATGGAAATGTCTGCTATAAGCAACATAAGCATTGACTTGATTCATTTTGTCGTTTTACAGTTCCAGCGTGTTCAGAACAGTATGATGAGAAGCTTGACGGTGGATAAGATAGAGCCCAGGTAGGAACATACTCTGAGTAGCTGGAGATTGTTGTTTATTATCATTCTCCCTTTATTTGAGACGTAATAGTTCCATTTGATTTCTGTAGGCATGCATTCTTTGGGTACCATTACAGTCCATTGGACTATAGTTATTGAGTTTATCCATTCCTCCTTGTTTTAAACAGGGGTGTAATTTCTATAATCCTCCAGGCTTTTGGTGCTCTCCCCAATCCAAGGGTAATAGAGATTGTGATCAGACCCTCTCCAATTTCCATGCTTCTGTCAATAACTTATTTTCTGCTCTAAGGACTTGTCATTCTCTGTCTGTTTTTATCCTTCCTATATTGTTAGCACCTTCGCCTTTCTAATGACATTGGTAGCTTTCTCTTCTTTACATGTGCGTACATTCAATCTCTTGTTCCTTTCCCTGCCTCTGGATAATGATGAGGAATTGAAAGAAGGCTGATTATTTTCCTTTCTCTGTGACAGCTGCCCATACCACTTCCCAAATGTTGTTCTTCAGCTGTCCTTCTGACCAACAAGACACTCTGAATAAATATCAGGACTCAAACTCATGCTGATTCTTGCTGTCTTGAACTCATGGGCACTTAACTACTTGCCTGACTAAGACCAACAACTTAACCTAGAACGGAATCTGAGGCCTGGTCTGTATAGTTTAATATCACAGCAGACAGATTATTTAAAGCAGTGGGAGGAATGGTTCAACTGCATTGTGCATGGCCTGGTAAATGGATGAATTATGTTTATACCTTTAAGAATTTTTGATTTTCAGAGAATTGGACACTATTTTAGCAGAAGTTACATTGATGAATGCTCGTGCAGAACTGTACCTGCGCTTCATAAGGAGAAGAATCACTGCAGATTTTGAAGTTTGTGATGCGGTAGCCTCAGAAGAAGTGAAACAAGGTACAGTTATCTCCTTGCTGTAAATGGTGGAATTTCCACACACATTCAGAACTGTTTGTGTTTATTGACTTTGTGGGGTATTTTATCCTCCCTTCCCTGGTTCAGTCTACCCTGCCTTTGTAACTTGTTCCTGGCAGGATAAGTGAATGTGCAAATTGATAGCACATCTCCATCCTGTTTGGGCGGTCTCAACTGACACTGAAACAGAGAATTGGAAATTGACTAGCCTTCCACCACTACATGATGCTGTGTCATGTTTTCACTGTTGTTTGTTCCCTTCTCATCCTGCTGCCATTGTAGGGCAGCTTGGTTTCTTATAGTGATTAACACTCATCCTTGAGGTGAAGTTTGGAGGCCCTTTGACCCAGAGTGGAGTCTGTTCCTCTCTTTGACATGTGTTCAAATTCACCAACTTTGCAGCAGGGGTCGGTGGTTGGTGATCTCAGGAACCGGAAGGCTGCATGTCCATAGCTGCCTCATGTAGCAGTGCCTAGCACAGTTAAGGTGCCTGAACTCTGAACATGTGACACATAGGCTGCATATCTATGGATCTCAGGATTGTACTATGTATCTTTGAGTTGTACAGAAGCAGAATGTGAAAGTTTACTGATTTCAGAAAGAACAAGCGTGTTCTTCTGTTAACTTTTCAAACAATGAAGAGTGGTAAATTTTCAGTGGTAAAGTTGCCTGCTGTAGTTTCCAGAGGATTATGGGGCTGCTGTCTCATGCGAGAGACGGACAACTGGGGGTGGTTTAATCTGAGGGTCACCATACCTCAGGTGAGGGGCAAGACTGAGAATGCAGGGTGCAAACCAGCCCTCCAGCCAACTGAGCTAACTGCCCCCCCACCCACCATAAAGAATATACAGCTTAATCTAATCCATTTGTGATTTCGGTTTTGGGTACAGATTTTATGGGTAATTAGTGAAGTCTGAAACTAGAAGCCTAAATAGAAGATCCTCAGCAACATCCTGCAGAGAATTCAGGAATAACATCCTTAGTGAGAGAGTGGTGAGAATGTGGATTGCATTACCAAATGGAGCAAAGGAGATGAATAGAATAGATCCATTTAAGGGAATACTAGTCAAACCTGAAGGAGAAAGGATCAAAAATATATATTTATAGAGTAGATAAGTAAAGTAGGAGGAGGCTTGGTAAAAACATAAATGGCGACTTGTTTCTGCATTCTTAGAATCATACAGCATATTAAGAAATGGCCCTTCAGCCCATTGAGTCTGTACCGCCAAAAATATATTACCACCTGTACTATTCCACTTTCCCGCACTAGGCCATAACCCACCCTGCATTGTGAGTTTGATATCATTGTATATTAATGTGACCATTTGCTGCAAATTCTCTGCATATGATATGGACTATAAAGATATTGAATGCTTGCTGACCTGTTTGTGATTTAATTGCTGGTTACTCAGAGCATCAGAAGGCACTGGATAAACTGTGTAACCTATGCTTGCTGAGCCGGAATATGCAGGAACTTATTGGATATTACATCACAATGGAAGAATACTTCATGAGAGAAATGGTCAACAAGGTATGTGTTATACGGTTGACGTTTCTCATAGTCATGATTGTCACAGTATAAGTTCTTAAAGTGCTAAAGAGGGAAAAACCAGTCAGAGTTCCTGCTCCTGACCACTGTCTTAACCGCCCCAAGGACATGGGTGGAAATGTGGACCTGTGATTTCCCCCATTAATGTCAAATAGCTTTACTGATACAAACTGTCCAAGTCCCCATATGAAAATGACTATTTGTTTGAGTTATTTGAGGGAATGTATCCTACCAAACAGCAGCTGCAGAAAAGAAAAGCATGGAAGAAAGAAATAAGAAAATTACAAAAACAAACTGTTTGTTGACTGCTCCCACTCAGTTTAAATCAGGTGGCACCAGTTTTTGGCACCAGGTGGAGGTTAGGCTTGTCTACATCTAGAAAAGAGAGGAAATAGTTGAACAAATCACCCCAAGAAAGTCCAGATTTTTGATTGGCTGATTTTTTACCCTATGTTTGCTACTCAGTGGGAAGACTGCTGAGTAAAGCATGTATTTGAAGAATTCTGGGTGCTTAGCTCTGATTGTAAGGCAGAATGATGTGACTGGTGGCTCAGATGTCAGAAGAGAATCAGAGGTTTAGCAATGTACCAATTCCAATGGAGGATCCCATCCAGACTACAGTACTGAACTTCCCTTTTCAGGCACTGACTGATTTGTGCATTTCCAGCAGGTTTAGTTTTTGTATGTGCTGTCTCAGCACGTGCCATGAATGATCTGAGACCTACTTGAACATTACCTTTTGCTAATTGATACAGCCACCTGGGGGTGCTCCAGGCCATTATGTAAAATATTATTAAGTACCCTCAAATCCTGCTTTTTAAATACTACTTGATCATACATGCAGGTATTTGTGGTACACTGATTTCCACCCTTTCAGTAAAATGTATGGGTGGTGTGATTGCTATATTAACCAAAGACCTAAATCAATCATCTGAGAGGAAGTTTGACTGAAGTTTTCAAAGTCATGAGAGATTTGGGTAGAGTAAGAAGAAGCTGTTCCTGCTTTTAAAAGGATCAAGAAAGTGAAGACCCATTTAAAGTGATCTTCAAAAGTAACAAACGTGATGTGAGAAAGAAAGAACCTTTACCACCCACAAAGTGGTTGGGTTTGGAATTCACTGCCTGGAAGTATGGTGGAGGCAGGTTCGAAGCAATGTGCAAAGGTGCTGGGAAAAGGCAGGAGAATGACACTAAGTCATAAAGTTCATTTGGAGAGCTGGTACAGACACAATGGGCTGAATGGCCTTTCATCTGCACTGTAACACTTGTGAGATTTTGCGCATATAAGTTTGATGTTGTGAATAGTTTTTCAAATGCAACAAATCTGAAAATAAAAATGCTCTTTTTGGTAAAACTGATCAAGAAGCTGTTCTGTTGTTTTAAAAAAAACTCCAACTGGTGTGCTTGATGGAGGCAAATCTACCATCCTTACCTGGTCTGGCCTTGACTGTATAGAGACATGCCCGACTACTGCCCCACCTGTGATCAGTTACATCAGGGTAACAGGAAGTTAATTTTTACACATTCTTTATATTGTCAACTTCACATAGGATAGAGCTAATGGAGAGTATGAGTGGTGGTGCCTGAAGATGTGAATGGTTGTTAAAGATGGTATTTTTTGATTACAGGCTGTGGCGATGGATGTCTGTGAGAAGGGCCAGTTGACATCTAGCATGGTGGATGATGTGTTTTTCATTGTGAAGAAGTGCATCGGTCGTGCTCTGGCGAGCTCAAACATTGACTGCCTGTGTGCCATGATCAACCATTCCACCACTGTACTGGAGTCAGATTTCAGGTAATTGGGGCCATATGACACTCTGCGCGTTCCTCGTCATTAATTTTGCTAGTGATCCAATCCTGGAACTGCTTGCTGACTGCTAACGGGCATAGTTGAACTGGCTGAAGTAGCCTTTGGCAATGCAATCTGCTGACTGCACTATGCCAAGTATATTTCTCTGCCAGTCAGGCCTCTACCACCTGGTCACTACACTTTCCAAGTGGTTCTCTGTGCTCGGTTTCCTGCATGGCATGATGCTGAGTCATGCAGATAGAAAGGGTTGGATCCCTGGCCCATGCTAGTTAGTTGATTTGAGCCAATGAAGGATAATTTGTTCCTGGGCTAACAGAGGAAAGAAAATCAAGGATTTCCATCAGTGGTCGTTGTGTGTAGTATTTGGTTAGGTTGCTGAACAGCCTGGCATATGGACAACCTAGAAACTACACTTGACAGGAAACAGGGCATTCAGGCAAGAAGTGTAGAATCCAATTCATAGCTGATTGAAAGAGAACCACAAATTTCAATGTGCAGCTTTATGTTTCCAACTCAAACTGGCTGAAACTCATGATTTGTAAATGAAATCCGTAAATTATCCTAGGTTTTAGGCCCTTTCAATTAAAACACTCTCTAAAATAGATTAATAAAGCTTATTTTCAAAATAAGATTTGAATTTGTGTCTCTGGATTACTTGTTCAACAACACAACGAGTGATCTTGTCCCCATCCAGATACTGTACATACCTACATTTGATGTCACTCAGTTCCGATTCTTGCTTTATTTAATTTTCAATTCTCTTGAACATTATTGCTGCCCTCTTTTATCGGCCTGGGTCTTCAAACCTAGGCAATAATGTTTAAAAAATACTACCCATCTCTATTCTGCCAGGTTCCCCACACACTCGCCTCTCGCCAGATTTTTGTAGGTCACCCAAACTCCTTTTTCAACTTCAGTGACGTTCCCAAGTGTTATAAAGTTCCCAGAGCTATTGCAACCCTCAATTTCAATCTGTTCAATTCTATCGCACTTTGTTTTAAGTAATGAGATTAACAATATATTCTTTTTGATGGCACACAACATAAAGCTTAAACATGTACATGTAAAGTGTTAATGAATCAGATTGAGAAATTGTGGGGTACCCAACATGCGTCACCGTCCATAGACACTGAATTTGCTGTACTCTTGAGTGAAACGATAAGTTCTAGAAACACTCGACAGGTTAGGCAACATCTGTGGTGAGGGTATTGGAAGGTTAGTGTTTCCTGAGTTCTGACCTTTCATGGGTTCTGATAGAATGCTGTATCCTCCTCTCTTTACAAAGGCTGCTGATCTGTGAGATTTTCCAGCACCATTTTCTGATCACCAGCACTCGCAGTATTTGGTCATTTCCGCTTCTGGAAGCTGTAACAGTGCAATGTTAGGTTGTTTATATATTGATAACCTGTGGTGAAACAGTACTCCTGTCTCTGGCATGGATAGTAGATGTGTCGTGTGTCCCTGTTTTCTGAGATATGCTGCAGGTCTTGTGGCTTTAAAGTGCTAGCAAACAGTCAGAGGTGGCTTCCTTTGAATTCACTCTTCCCAGGTTCTCCCAGAATAGGCTGTTTGAGATTCATAATTGGTGCTTTGGGAAATTGAGCCCATGTTCCTCACATGGTAAAATGGTTTGTGTTGGCCCAGTGCATCTGCAGTATTGCATTTAGTCCTTAACTGCATGGCAGCCCCAAATGGAAAAAAAAAATTCTTTGTTATTTAATTTCACCCTCGTACATTTAAAACATATACGTTAGGAGCAAGAGTAGGCCATTCGGCCCCTCAAGTTTGCATTGCCATTTGATAAGATGATGGTTAATCCATATTCCTGTTTACCCTATTACCCTTCTGACTCCCTAATTAGTCGAGGTTTTATCAACCTCTACCTTAAAAATATCCAATGATCCCCTTCTCCCGTGCTTTTGAAGAAAGAGAGCTCCAAAGACACATGATCCTCCGACAGAGAAAAAAAAATCCTTCTCATATCCACTGAAATGTAGCTGCATATGTCAAACAGAATATTTAAATGATAATTATGAAGTTTAGAAGATTGTTATATTTTGGGACTGTATCTTTAATTGAAGGGGAAAAAAATGAAGGAGTTCATGTGAGCTTTTCTACAGTCAGCTTGAGAGTAAGCCAACTGATTGTCAGAAATTAAAGGAAGGCTTAGAATGTTTTAATGGGAAGAAGGTATTTATGCTTGGAGACAATGGCTCTGGGCTGCACGTTAGCACTGTTAACAGCAATTCCATGGAAGGGCCAAATTCATGGGGGAGTTAAATGAGGCTGAAAGAATTGCCTAGCTAGGGCTAGAGGGAGATGCTTTAGGAAAAGAAAACCTCAGCTCTACAGTGACCTCACCAATCCTAAAGCAGGGAACACAAATCAACAAGGACTTCTGCTCCTGATTGTTGTGCCGTCTGTTGGAAGGTGCATACACAGAAGTCAGGTAAGCCGTGAGGTTCCTCACAGTGGAATAACCTGGTACTAAGAGAGATGTGGGGATCTACAAACATTTTATAATCCCTACTACCTGCACATGGATTCACCAAAAATTGAGTGAAGATAAATTTTATTCTATGTCTTTAAGGCTATAAACCTTAGATGATTACCGACTGAAGTCATTTCATTATCCTTCTATTCATAACTTTATCTGTGGGTAAATAAGAAATACTTTTCATGTGGGTGGAACTCTTGAAACATTCTAACAATTACAGTACAGGAGGAACTTATGGTCAGTGTCAGTGCAGGCAGAATTGTATGGATCAGTGAGTGTGACGGTACAGGAGGAATCTATGGGTCAGCAGTTAGTGGTTATGATATAGGAAAAGATTACCAGTAGTAAATAACTGTTTACAACAAATTTGTGACTTGTTTAAGGGTAAAACCTGGCAAGATATTCTGGCAGTTTGTACCTAACTGAGTTACAATAGGATCCTAGAAATCTATGTATATCTATTGTATTGCTGTTTGTATAAATGCAGGTAGCAGATTGTTGTGTGGTGATGCATTGAGATGTTCCTGTCTCTTCCTGTCATGCAGGGAAGTGCTTTATAATAAGCTCCGGATGGGATTTCCTGCCACAACCTTTCAGGATATACAGCGTGGAGTAACCAGTGCTGTGAATATCATGCATTCCAGCCTGCAGCAGGGCAAATTTGACACCAAGGGCATTGAAAGCACAGATGAAGCTAAACAATCTTTCCTGGTATGTGTTTCATTTTGCTACCCCTACTTGGGAAGTAGTTTGCTTGTTGTGTGATGGCTCCCTCTCCTGTCAGCACCCTACCAATGAGATATCGCTGTCAAGCATCAGTGGCATGGTTCTACATCCTTGAGCATTCTCACCTACATGGGCAATCTTTGTGTTTTTGGATATGAATTTTAAGTTCTACACTGAATGACATGTTCATTTAGCACATCCAGTTCTAGCATGAGACACTCCAAGACTCTCGGTATTACCAAACGCCACCATCGCACACTTGGTGATAATTCTTTGTGATTGTTAAATTGTTAAATGATGGCATGAGTTGTCCAGGACCGTATGCCTTTTCGAGGTTGCCTGCATCTGTCTTTGTGATTGGCTTTGAGGATGTTGATAGTTTAGGCCTCCAGCAATGTCATGGATTGCTCCCAACATAGTTACCTGCAGAGTAAAGTTTGCACTGCTCTTCCTTATCTGAACATTGTGCCTCCTACACAATCTGACTGTCCAATGTTGCACTGGTGTGACACATTATCCCTTTCCCATACTGTTCATTCTTCAGTGCAGTTTTGTGCTGTGTACCCATTTCAGATTAAAACTTGCTGAACCCATTTCATGCTGCACTTCCAAAGACCGTTAAACAGGGCCTAGTTTATGCTGAGAGTTTTACCTCTTACAGTACTTGTTAGCCCCAGAAATTAGCTTCCTGAACTCTTATCCTAAGGGTGCTCATTGACTCTTTCATTACCGAATGTGTGTTTTGTATCTGTCCTGCTCATGGTTCTAATTTGCTTATTTGCTGTTAAATTGTCTTGTTTCATTTAGGTGACTCTGAATAATGTGGAGATGTGCAGTGAATATCTTCTGACCTTAAAAAAGAACCTGGAGGTATGAGAATATGCAAATCTAAGGACATATGTTATGCGACAGGATTAACATTTTTAATTTTTCTCCCTTCTCGTGGAAGGACCAAGCCAGCTGCTTGGATACAGTCCCAAGGCAGTCCACCAGCACCACACCTGAGTGGCTTTTCATCATGTAGTCAGTCTTACCATTGTACATTTAGACACTTTTTGATTTTGAGCAGTGTTGTAGCTTAATTCAGTCTCAACACCTACCAACTGCTGATGGTCACACGCTGATATTGAGGATTAAGGTCAAGCTGATAAATGTCTCCATGCTGCATAATTCCTGTTCCTCCTATTTCATGTACAGTTATTGACCAAGATATAGTACTTGCCTGTTACTTGAGAAAAGTGGAGTGCAACAGTTCGTGTGTATGGAGGCTGCAACTCTTGTTTTGAAGGCACTAATGTCAATCCAAGTCTCAGCTGATTTCCAAATTTAGCTTCCTTCTCATAGAAACAATAGAAAGTAGGGGCACGTGTAGACCATTTGGTCATTGGAACCTGCTCTGCCATCCAATATGATCATAGCTGATCCTCTATCTGTGTGAATGCCCGGTTTCTCTCTATACGCCTTGATGCTTTTAAAATCTAAAAATGTAACACTCTCCTTGAATATATTCAGTGATTTAGCCTTCACAGCCTTCTGTGGTAAAGAATTCCACAGGGTCACTACCTTTTGAGAAATGTTTCCTTATCTCAATCCTAAATGGTCTATGCTGTACTGTGAGGTTGTCCACCCCCTGTTTCTAAAGTCCCAACCAGGGGGAATATCCTCTTTGCATCTAGTTTGTCCAGGCCTGTTAGAATTTTATACATTTCAATCAGATCCGTCTCGCCTTTCTAATACAGGCCCAGTCGAACCAATCTCTCCTCATAGGACAGTCCTGTCATGCCCGGTATCTCACTAGTGAACCTCCACTGCACTGCCTCTTTGGCAAGTATGTCCTTTCTTTGTAGAAAGACCAAAGCTGCATGTAGTACATCAGGTGTAGTCTCACCAAGGCCCTGGATAACTGCAATAAAACTCCCCTACTTCTGAACTCAAATCCTCTTGCAATGAAGGCCAGTAAACCATTTCCCAATCCTTCTGGCTGAGTAAGCCAGTCTCTCTGGGCCATAGCATGAAATGATTTTTTTTCAGTTTTCTCCTGTATTCACCTGAAGGCACTGCTTCACTAGAAACGCTGTCATGTAAGATGCTTGTTCTTCACTGTGTTATAGAGTTATCCAGCGTGTTAGAGTGGGAATGTTTGATGAAGTGCATATTTCTCCACAGAGTGACTGTACAAAGCTGTTCAACCAAGGACTGGGAGCAGAGCAAGCACAAGCAAAGATTGACAGCTGCCTATCGGATTTGGCTGCGGTCTCCAACAAGTTCAAGGACCTCCTGCAGGTGAGGTCCAATTTTTGCTACTAATTGTCTTTTAATGAGTTAATTGCAGACTCCAAACTTAATATAAAGCAGAAACTCAGCAGGTCTAGCAGCATCTGTACAAAGAAAAACAGAGTTAACATTTTGAGTCCAGTGACCCTTTGTCAGAACTGAAAGCAGCTGGGAAATGGTGGTATTTATTTATGCTATTGAAGGAAGGCTGTGGTTGGGTTTTTTTGGGAGGTGGAAGAGGAGTCAATAGCATACATGGAAATGGTGCTGGGAGAGTAAAAAGGAGGGGCATACTAAAGGATTGTTGATGTTAAGATGAGAGATGAATGCTAGATGGGTTCTTACGAGAAGTGCGAACATTTGAAAAAGGGTTGATTCTGAAAAAGGGTTGATTCTGTTCGGAGCAACCCATTCAAAACAGGACCTAGGGTATGGGGGTCAATAACTAGAAATTTGTCCACCATGGCTTCCTTGGTACTGCTGAAACTAGAGTATGTTTGCTGTTGCAACACCAAGTCTGTGTCCAAGTATATGAACAAGTTGTATTTTGTCTTACAGGAAGGTTTAGCAGAACTCAACAGTACAGCTATCAAGCCACAGATTAAGCCCTGGATAACTGGGTTCCTCTCCATCTCTCACAATATTGAGGAGGTGAGAGCATTTCACTTTGTGTAAACAAGGAGCAAGTGACTGAACACAATTATAGACATCTCCAAGTTTAGAAATTTGTTCATGTCACTGTGTGGTGCAAATACATGCAGCCGAAGTGTTAAGTTACTTAGCGTAGTATGGGTCACACCATAAACCCAGTATCTCCCCAATCCAACTTGTGCATTTCTGCATTCCTCAATCTGTAAACCCAGTGAATTGCAGTTCAGTGTCCCGAGTGGACAGTCTGTAGTCCACTATGTATAAACTCAATGGTTTATTGCCTGAGTTACATTGTTTTGCTGCTCTGTGTTATTAACATCTTATTATATCTAATTTGTTCACGATCACATTCTCAATGTATAAAACAGTGACTCTTTTTAACCCTTTCAACATGTTGTAAACATTACAATAGCTGTTAAGACTGCAAGCAAACATCAGAATTGGTATAATAGGTAGTGACCAGAGGTGGTGGTCTGAAGGCCTCATCTACTGTAGGCATTGCTTTCTCGTGTCTGTAATAGTAACCAGCCTTTGGTACTCAGTACATTGTCAGATATGCTGTAGAAGCGCTCTAAAAGTGGTCTTCATGTTCTTAAAAGTGGTAAAGTGAGTAAAGACATGCACAATTGTTAGTTCTAAGCAGTTATTTAACAAGAGCGCCAATTCCTGATGTGCCTTTTCTCAAGCCATTGGCCTCTTTTTGTTTTACGCAATGTTTTATTGTATTCTAGGAGGAGTTTAATGATTATGAAGCCAATGATCCCTGGGTTCAACAATTTATTCTCAACCTGGAGCAACTGATGACAGAGTTCAAGGTGTGCCTGTAAGGCTTACTTAAAATTCAGAAAGTTGCAACTAAATTGAGAACTTGTACAATAAGTACAACTTTCCTAGTGTTGGATTCTAAATATAAACTGGTAGTATCAAGGAGAAACCACATTGTCTCTTAATTGTTCTTTCCCAAAAGTCTCAAGATTATGGAAATTATTAATGTCCTTCACCTCCTCAAAGTGGCCTTGTGGGCCTGGTAAGGGAGAGCAGACCCCAAGACTCAGCTCTTTAACAGCTTCACAGTAAAGATGCCTGTCACACTTGTGTGAAGCTTGCACAAAACAGTCCTGTCTCTTTACAACTGCTGGCTGATGCTATTTCATTAGTTTTCAGAACACCAGCAAGTTAGAATTTAGTACCCTTTCCTGTGTTTCTAGTATTTTCTATTTTTGATTCAGATTACCAGAATTGGTTGTTGTCCCTAGGTGTGTTGGGCGGGTGGAAGGGAAGGTGCAGTCATTTCCAGATGCGACTGTGTGTGTTTATTTGTTCTCTAGGCTGGATTGTCCCAGGTCATCTATGATAATCTCACTGGTCTGATGACGAGCCTGATTGCGATTGAACTGGAAAAGGTGGTTCTCAAGTCAACATTTAGCCGGGTATGAGCAGGGAAAGCCGCAAACTACAGCATTTCATGTATATATTGTCCTGAAACAAACTGAACTGATGGTTTCTGGGGAGGAGGTACCATATGGGTACTAAGCCAGGTATTCTCTTGAGTGTAAAGGATTAAGGAGTGATATAACTGAGGACATTAACAAGTTTCAGGGATCACAGCATCTCACTGACTATCCCATCTCAAGTGGGTGTGTCTAGGTCAATCAGGGCAATTATACTTCTTGGTACAAGCACAAGGGAGCCCTAGGACTTCCCCATATACACACACACACACACACACTATATTGGTCTCGGAAACCATTGGCCATAGAGAAATATTGTCAAGGGATATCATGCCAATCACTATCAGAAACCATAGGAGTAAATCACACACAGTGACTAATGGAAAAAGGGGAAGCTGCAAAAGCAAATATATGTCTTAGAAACAGCAATGTAAGATACTGAACGTACATATGCGTTTTAGTCAAAGCTTCAACCGTACTGTTTTTAGCCCTTCAAAGAACATGAAATGTCTTTGGCACAAATACCATTTTGGAATGAGTCTCACTCACCACTTTATTATGTGATCAGTTGTTTTCCTGAAGATGTTCACTCCTGTTGAGTTCATATAGAGGTCAGGTGTCTTCCAGTAAGCCCCTCCCTGTATTCCTCCTCCCCAAAAAACTGCTTCCATATTTCAAGTGTACTTCCCATAGGACAGTAGGTGACTGGATAGCTCCAGATCTGGGATTTTTCTCTGTACTGCCTTATCTTTAGCCCAGGTAGACTGAGGATGGGCAGTAGCTCTACAGCTGAGAATAAATTCAGACTGTTTGAAAATTTAATGGTTTAGACAGCTCATATACCTTCAAAATCCTTAGATCAAAATAGGAAGGAGGAGCTTGAGGAACATTTCAATTACAAATTGTGTTTGAATGAGGATTCCTTTCTTGCATTTTTAAAACATTTCCTCATCTTTCCACTGGCATCTCCTATCCTCATTTAACACTGCCTTGTTTCCATAGAATCCCTACAGTGTGGAAACAGGCCATTTAGCCCAACAAGTCCACACCAACTTGCTGAAGAACATTCTACCCAGACTCACCACCATCTCCCCACCTTCCCCCAACCCTATCCGTGTAACCCTGCATTTCCCATGGCTAATCCACCTAACCTAGACATCGCAGATACTATGGGCAATTTGGCAATTCTTTGGACTGTGGGAACAAACTGGAGCACCTGGAGGAAACCCACATAGACACAGGGAGAATGTGTAAACTGCACACACAGACTGGAATTGAACCCGGCTTCCTGGCGCGGTGAGGCAGCAGCGCTAACCACTGAACCACCATGCTTCTTAAAAGCTGAGTTTGCACTATCTCCTTCTGACCTCTTTTGGTTATTTTTCAGCTTGGTGGGTTGCAGTTTGACAAGGAGCTCCGATCGCTTATTGCATACCTGACATCAGTGATCACGTGGACCATTCGTGACAAGTTCGCTCGCCTCTCTCAGATGGCAACTATACTGAATCTAGAAAGGGTGAGTGTGTAGAATAAGGTGAAGTAAAGAGTGGGAAGAGGCTTACGTGCAGCATAAAGAAGGAAGGTTTACATTTATATTAATCCTTTCATAACCACACAATATCCAGAAGTACTTTACAGGCAATGAAATACTTCTGAAATCTAGTCACTGTTGCAATGTAAGAGACTAGCTGACAATACTTGGGCTCAATGTCTTGTTTCTGAGCTGTAATTTTATATAGCTCTGCCACAGAAGGTGACAGGACATGAGTTGGTCAGAACAAACTTATTGAGAGAGATCTGATTGATGTGTTTTGAAGTAACATTCTCTTGTGTTTACATAGTGCTGATTATGTACAGACATTGGAGCCTGGTTAGAGAATGAGGGCAGGGGACCTCGGGGAGGTTTTGAATAGGGATAAGATAGCAACAACTGTAGATCCTGGAGTCAGAGACAACACTGTGGAGTTGGAGGAACACAGCCGGTCAGGCAGCATCAGAGGAGCAGAAGGGTCCCGACCCGAAATGTCAACTTTCCTGCTCATTTGTTGCTGCCTGGCCTGCTGTGTTCCTCCAGCTCCACACTGTGTTGTCTTTGACTGTAAGGGAGTTTTATTTCCAATTTCCAGTATCTGCAGTATTTTGTTTGATGGCACTGAGACATTTGAGGAGGATGGAGTGTAACATTCAGCAAAGCGATGGAACAAGGACATTTAAGATGATGTGGTTGAGTGTAACATTCAGCAAAGTTATAAAGCAAGGACATGGTCATTGTCCCACAGGATGCTGATGGGAACTGGCCCATCCTTATTATAGCCTGATTGGTGAGCTTCAAACAAAACGCAGAAGGAGATAGTTGTAAGGCAACAACAGGCTGGTTCAGAGATGATCTATAGCAGTGCATTAGCTGCAACAAAACAGTCGCAATGGGACTCTTAGAAGCTCCTGAGAGAACAACATATATTGGTCCAGCAAGTTTCCTCCATCCAGATACAGATTTTATAATGTTTTCCCATCAAAAGCTGTTAATTCCCTACTTCATGGAATCTACTGATACATCTAATAGTGTTTTTTTTGACCTTAGAGCAACTTGCTGCTCAGGGAATCAATGCTGCCAGTAGAAAAATTTTCTACTCTGTTTAACTTTGCAAAAGACATGTGAATAATATCGCCATTACTCGTGTTCCAAATACCTGGCTTCTTTAACATTTCATTATTTGAAAACACTGTTACGTCTCCTATCAGTCATTTCTCCAGTGAAAACATGATTATTTGTGCCTTCCTTCATAACTTCACTTCTAAAACCTGCGGTTCCTGCCACTCTTCACCCTTTCTAATGTATCTATACCTTTTTGATGATCAACACTGTGCATACTGAAGAACTGACTGAGTCACTGGTTGGTATAGTGTCATTATAATTTACTTTCCTTTTTAATCTAATGTTCTCTCAGTATCCTATATTAATAACTGACTCATATTGACCAGGCATTTGGAGGTGTGATCAACTATATAAATCCTGCTTCTCCCAACCCTGTTCAGTCTCTGTTGGACACACATGTCCTGTCACCCTTTTCCACATGTGTAACTCTACCAGAGTCCATCTTTGTAGAGATTGAAATACATGTGGTTTTGCACCTGTATCACTCATCACTTTTTGTTTCCATAGGTCACTGAGATCTTGGATTACTGGGGACAGAACTCTGGTCCATTGACCTGGCGTCTTACGCCTGCTGAGGTGCGTCAGGTGCTTGCACTGCGGAATGACTTTCGTAGTGAGGACATCAAGAGACTTCGCTTGTAGCAGTTGTGCCTGGTCAACCTTTAGAGGATCGATTATTATGATTCCTCTTGGACAGCATGTTTCTGCATATTCAGACAGTGGAGCTTTGTGTGGCATTTAAAACAAAAACGTCTGACTGGATCTGGTGTGCACCACAAATGACTTGCATATGTTTTTGTTTTCCAAAGGGATCATTGTGCATTAATTGACAGACTCGGAGCATGTCCAGTTTCAGGGTCTTGGGAACAGGTTCAGAACCATACAGTACATCCACATGCTGGAGTATTACTTCACCACATTTGGACTATGCTGTACCAGGTCGTGTTGCAGCTTATAGAGAGATGGATTGTTTTGCCAAACTTTTCAAATGTAATCTATTTACTCTGTCCACTGAGATACTGACCCATGCAGACTAGGAATATTGCCCAATTTCACCCCTGGTACCTGGTGAGATTGGCTGACTAGACTGGCAGGGGGGGGAACTTTATATCCCTGAGAAATGAAGCAGTGGCTAAAATCTGATTCCTGAATTAAATTCCACAAATAATTTTAGTAAGTATGGATTAGACATGGTTATGGTAATCCCAATGTTTGAATAGCCAGCTAATAACTCTTAATATAATGCTGTCATGCCAGGATAGTATGGAGAGGATGACTGGCAGACTGTTGGATGAGATGTTAAGCCAAGGCTCCATGTGTCTGCTTGGTTGGCCAGGAAGAGCCTGTAGGGTCATTTCAAGTAATCTGGTCAATATTAATCACTCCATTACAAAGTTTCAGTAATCAATGCTGTGGGACCCTGCAGTGGAGTATTTAAGGAACGGAATGTGTATGAAAAGGAATACCTGAGGCATCAAACTAGCAGGAGGACCTCCCTGGTATGTGCTGCAGAATGAATTGTTCATGGGGAACAGTTTTCACTTTTTCCTATACTTTAGTACCAGAGAATTGAATGGAAATTCATAATTTATTGTGTTCAAGGTTTGAAAGTTGTTTAAATTAGTTCACTTTAGAAATCCAAATCATTCTTTGTGGTTTAATGGTGTTTTTCGTGACCTCCAGCTGTCCTAGATGCTTTGCACCAGAGAATACAATTCCAAACTGTTTTATTGCCTGTACTGTGGAAAGTAGACAAAGAAATGAATTGCCAGAGAATCTGTTTTGTCCACATCATCTCATGTCTTGGAGGGTGTTCTGAAGGGGGAACAATAAAAGTAAGATGACCAACAAGGTTAAAAAGTCTTGTGTACAAGTCTTGTGTCTTAATATGTGGAACATTTGAAAGGAAACAGATGAATTAGCAGTGCGAGTAGATATAAATATGGAGACAGGGCTGCAGGTTGACCGACGATGGAACCTGGATATCTAGGGATATTCATTATTTAGGAAGGACAGACAAAAATGGAAAGCAGGTGGGGGAACATTATTAGTAAAGGAATAAATCAATGTAATAATGATGAACTATAATTGGCTCAGAAAATCATGATGCAGAAATAAGAAATATCAAGGGATAGATAATGTTGGGATTATGTATACGCTTCCAAATGGTGGTGGTGATGATGTACAGGAAGGCATTAAATACGCATGCACTAAGGATACATGTTTAATACAGTTGCCCAATTTACATATAGATTAATGAAACCAAACTAGGTGGTTAATAGATGGGGAAGCAAAAACTCGGCTGTTTGTAAGAGCACTTCTGGATATTAAAAAAAAGTGAAACTTAACTATCAATTACATTGTGGAAGAGGATTTCAAAGAGTGTGTATTTGGTGATTTTATTGATCTATACCTTGATGAACCAACCAGAGAACAGGCTATTCTAGATTTGGTACTATTGCAATGAGCAAGGATTAACTAATAATATGTTTGTACTGGTCCTCTGGTGAAGAGCAATCGTAATAGGAGTTCTTCATTTAAGATGGAGGAATGAAGTAGTCAAATCTGAAACTAGAATCCTGAATCTAAATAGAGAACTAAATGGGTGTAAGGAACAAAGTGGCAACAATGGATTGGGGAAATTTACTGAAACAGTTAATGGTGGATAAGCAATAGCTAATATTTAAAGAATGTGTGAATAAATTACAACAATTATTCATTCCTGTGTGATGCAAAAATAAAACTGAAAAGATGGCTTAATCTAATGCAGTATGTCAGTACTCAGAGAATTGCATTCTAGGGCATGAACTGTTGAAATTGCCTCACCTACTTATTCTGGTGGAAATTAATAATTCTATGACACTATTTACAACAGCAGTGAGTTTGCTTCATGTCTTTACTAATGTTGCAACATGACAAGGGCAGCAGATGCATGGGAATATCAGGATTGCCTCCCAGCCACCTACCATCCTGACTTGGAAATATATTGCCATTCCTTCCGTGTTGCTGGGTCATATTCCTAGAATTCCCTTCCTAACAGCTCCGTGGGTGGACCCATACCATACAGACTGCAGAGGTTCAGGAAGCTAGCCCACCACCACCACCATCTTCTCTAGATCAGCTGCCAACACCCTAAACCCATGCGCAAATTTTTAAAAAGTCTAATGCTGGCCTGGCCAGTGATGCCCAGAACCTCAATGAATAATATAAATTCCCAAACTCTCCTAATGAAAAGCAACTGACTGAAACACGCATGAAGTTCCACTCTAGGATAGCAAAATAATTCTGGAGTGTGAATTGAGTTGTAAGACATTCAAACATCATCCAGCCAGTGGTGGTATCATCTGAATTTTTGAGGAATAGCTTCAGATCATTGCCAATGCTGTTCGATGCTTGTAGCATATACCGGAATGATTCTGATGTTTTGGCTTCATAAAAATAAAGTTTATCAGAAAAATTGATGCAGCGATTTGAAAGTCACTTAAAATGTTGTCATCAGTGATTTCTCTCTGGATTTTTCCATAATAGTCCAAGTTTTGTGCATGATGCTGGTTTAACCCCAAGATTATTGTGTGTTAAACAATTCATGTAGGATTCATTGTCCCTCAGCTCCACTCAGACGCACAGTAATTCCAGTCTCATCTACGTCCACCGCATAGACACTGAAGTTCCCCAAACCCTGTAAGCAAGTCAGAATTCAGATGTTATAACCTTGTCATACCTTCTCAACACCAGCCTAACAGCATCTGAGAGACCCAGCTGTCTGCACAGGAGGGGATAGGGAACTTTGGCACAAACTCTGGTATTTCACTTTCCAATCATAAAGATTCACGGAGACTCTTCTTAACTTCAATGACAATTGCTTTGAAGGCAGGATGAAGTAGAGAAACACAGTTAATCTCACAAAGACAAGATATTGGTATTTACGAGATGTCTTAGAAATTTCAGAGCAACCGTTCAAACAGCTCTGTATTAAAAGGGAAGGGGAAGACCTCCCTGGAAATGACAGGAGTCTCCAGGAAACCAAGACTGAATGCAGTGTTTTGGAGTCAAGAGAGCTCCAAAAAATGGAATATGTTCTGTTAACTACATAGGATAACGCTTCTCCTGCAGCTCTACATTTTGTTGGCATTGCATGTATGAAGGCCATTCAGCCCTTAAAGCATGTTTTGCCATTCGATTAGATCATGGCTGATCTGCATCTTAACTCTATTTATATGCCTTTGGTTTCATAACCCTTAATACTACTACTGAAATTATCAACTGACTGCCAGCCTCAAGAGCTTCTTGGGAGAGTTCAGTCCAGATTTCCACTTCCATTTAAACAAAGGAAAGCTTCCTGATTATTATCACTGAACAGACTAGCTCCTATTTGAAGGTGATGGAGCCTTGATCTGGACCCGCCCACTACAGAAAACAGTTGATCTACCAAATTAACTCAAGATCAAGAACATCACAATTTGATCATTTCGAAATTACCCTTCCATTTTCTATTCTTATAATTTAATAGGAATGTTAGCATTCTGTCCTAGGTCTGCTGCAGGGTTGCAGTAAAGCCCAATACAAGCTGGGGAACACCACTTCATTTTCTGCTTAGGCTCTACACAGATTTCAAGACTCAACATTCAGTTCAACAATTTTAGAGCATGAACTTTTAACCCATTTTGCCCACCTCCCTGCCAGTGTTTCATTTTTGCATGGGTACACTCACCAAATTGAACCTTTTTTGGCAATCCACAACTGTCATTAATACCTATTTTGCATGTAGAAATCGCCTTTATTATTAATAATCACTCCCTTTGTCTTTTGCTTTGGGCACCCTTGCTGTCTGTTCCACTCTCTCTCTTTGTCAACAATGTAAACATAATCATTTTCCAGCCCTGTGCAGTTTCAAAGTCACAAAACAGAGACAAAATGGGACATAAAACATTAGCTCTGTTCTCCTCACAGCTGCTGCCAGAACAGCTCTCCAGCACATTCTGGTTTTACTTGCACAATTTTTAGGAGTGAGCAGGAGGAATCTATTCCCTTGGAGTATAAGTCTGACAGCAAATCTCACAAATATGTGAGAATTGGATTTAGCTCACTGGACTGTAAACGGACAAATCAAAATTCCTGTATCTCCTAATAACAATACCATCCTGTGAGGATGTGTGACTGATTCTTAAAGAAATTAAACAGTTTGTCCTTTATGGGAAACAGGGATACTGTGATGATGCACTCTGGAAGGGTCTCTATAACAGCTGACCATCCTACCTGGCTTGCTGTCAGTATCCTTTCGATGGCCTGTTTCTGTCGAGGTTCCTTGGTCAGAAGGTAAAGGAAGCCTCCACCACCTGCCCCAGCCAGGCTCTGCCCATGTACGTGGGGCTGGAGGACAGCCATTATCTGTCGGACGGCAGATGGCTCACACCCAGGAGCCATACACTTCTTCTGCTGCCAGTAGGTATTTAGGCACTGGCCAATCCAGGAGAGGTCACCTGCCAAATGCAAAGGTTAACATTTCTCTCCCTCTTTCTACAGTCACATGAAAAGTAGTAAAAGGGTAGCAAAGTTGGGGCCTAGTAGATCCAAAAAGGGGATTTCTGATTGGAGGTAGGGAGCACGATAAGGTACTAAATCAATATCTGTATCTGTCCTTACAAAGAAGAGGATACTACCAATGTGGTCGTGACTGTGGAAGAGGAGGTAGTCGACTAAAATTTGAAATAAAAGTAGACAAGAGACATGAGCCTGGAGCTCGGTGACCAGTGGTGTTCCACAGGGATCTGTTCTGGGACCTGTGCTCTTTGTGATCTTTATAAATGACTTGGATGAGGAAGTGAAAGGGTGGGTTAGTAAGTTTGCCAATGACACGAAAGTTGGAGGAGTCGTGGACAGCGTGGAGGGCTGTTGTAGGTTGCAACGGGACATTGACAGGATGCAGAGCTGGGCACAGAAGTGGCAGATGGAATTCAACCCAGAAAAATGTGAAGTGATTCATTTTGGAAGGTCGAATTTGAATGCAGAATACAGGATTAATGGCAGGATTCTCGGCAGGGTGGAGGAACAGAGGGATCTTGGTGTCCTTGTCCATAGATCCCTCAAAGTTGCAACCCAAGTTGATAGGGTTGTAAAGGAGGCTTATGGTGTGTTGGCTTTCATTGGCAGGGGAATTGAGTTTAAGAGCCGTGAGGTTATGCTGCAGCTCTATAAAACTCTGGTTAGTCCACACTTGGAATATTGTGTTCAGTTCTGGTCACCTCATTACAGGAAAGAAGTGGAAGCTTTACAGAGGGTGCAGAGGAGATTTACCAGGATGCTGCCTGGACTGGAGGGCAGGTCTTATGAGGAAAGGTTGAGAGAGCTAGGGCTTTTTTCATTGGAGCGAAGAAGGATGAGAGGTAACTTGATACAGGTTTACAAGATGATGAGAGGCATAGATAGAGTGGATAGTCAGAGACTTTTTCCCAGGGCAGAAATGACTATTACAAGGGGGCATAATTTTAAGGTGACTGGAGGAAGGTATAGGGGAGATGTCAGAAGTATGTTCTTCACACAGAGAGTGGTGGGCGTGTGGTATGTGCTGCCAGCAGTGGTAGTGGAATCAGATACTTTAGAGACATTTAAGTGACTCTTGGATAAGCACATGGAGGATAGTAAAATGTAGGGTATGCAGGGTAGATTGATCTTATAGGATAATAGGTCGGCACAACATGGTGGGCCGAAGGGCCTGTACTGTGCTGTACTGTTCTATGTTCTATGAGAGGCTTGCTGTGCTTAAAGTTGATAAATCATTGGGACTGGATGGGATGCATTCAAAAGATTTCAAGGGATGTCTAGTTGTTTGTTGCTTCCCCCTTCCAATTCCCCACTCTCCCACACATCACTTCGATCTCTCTACCCCTTTGCTCGCAATTTCCCTCTTGATCACCTCACTCCATCCTGCTCAACTGTCCCTTCTCCCAGTTCCTGTTGCTCATTGCTTGTTTCAAACAACCCTCACTCTCTCCTACTTCCTTTCCTGCTTGACACTTTGCTCACTGTCTCCCGCTCACTGCCCTATTCTCAATCACCACCTTCCCCTCTCTCTGATGAAAGGAATATTATGTATATTGTATCCCATTTTTTGTTTTGGATTTCAAAATAGAGCAGATGGACTTCGGTTAGTGAAGTTTATTTAAGGAGATCAGAAACTCATTTTTGAACAGTGATCAAAGTACATCAATGCTAAGAAGCCAACTGTTTACTGAATCCCCGAGGTGATAATGGATAATATGTTTATACTGCTGTGTTTATGACAGATGCATAAACACATTAAGGCAATTAGTTTAGTTTTGACTTCAGGACAGGAGATTTTAGTTTAGAATAATCTAGAGAGCAGTTTAAAAGGTAGAACTAGCAGGGAGAGAAAGCTTTTCCAGTCAGTTCAGGGGAACAGGTCACCTCAGCACACATGGTTTCTAATCCGTGGAGCTTTTAAGCTAGGAGAGTTTGGATAGAAAACTTGAAGTTGTTAAAACTTAGATCAGGCCATCAAAATTGTAAGAAGTTAATGGACTCCAAAAGGAATTGTCTCTAGGGCCCAAGGGAAAGAAACTGGAAAGCATCAGTTAAGTCAGATATAAAAAGCTGACATAGGAGTGATATCTCCCTGGCATTGTGTTTCTGTTGTGAAACAGGTTGAAACTTTGGATTGATGTTTGCGTTAAGATTCTTCCAATCATCACATATATATATTTATTTATTTAAAGGTCTTTGATTTTTTTTTCTTCTTTTGCCACAATAAAATTATGTTCTGTTGTTGAAGCACACTTGCAGTCTTGTATGAATATGTTTCTGTGACTAACCACTGAGGAAGCAAAAAGCAAAAATTAAATATACGATCTATCAAACTGGGCTTAATTCTGGGATCAGACTTATCCAGTATTACCATCAGCTATGAACATAACTTTCCTGCTCACCTCTTTCCTCTTTTGACTGTTATTGTCTGCTTTCTTGTCCTCCCCCTCAGTTTTCACTTCCTTCAACCAACCCCCTCACAATCTCTCTACTCACTGCTTTCCACGGCCCTCATTCGCAGCTTCCCTCTTCTGACCTCTCTCACTGCTTCCACCTCAAGAATTAAAGGGCAAGAAAGCAAAAGAAACTTAAAACAATTGTGATCACTGCAGAAAACATACTTGGAAAACTAATAGGATTAACAGTTGGCAAGTCTCCTTGACCCGAAGGCTTGTGTCCTATGGTTTCATAGGAAGTGGTACAGAGATAGTGGATGCACTGCTTGTAATCTTCCACAATGGACTCCAAGAGGAATCGTCTCTAGGGCCCAAGGGAAAGAAAGTGGAAAGCATCAGTTAAGTAAGATATAAAAAGCTGACATAGGAGTGATATCTCCCGGGACTTATGTTTCTGTTTGAAACTTAGTATTGATATTTGTGCTAAGATTCTTCCAACCATCATATATATATTTATTTATTTAAAGGTCTTTGATTTTTTTTTCTTCTTTTGCCACAATAAAATTATGTTCTGGAAAGGTCCCAGTGGATTGCAAGATCCACAAATGTAACAAGTCAGTTCAAGAAAGAGGGAAACAGAAAAGAAACCATAGGCCAATTAGTGTAATGTTGGGAAAATGCTAAAATCCATTCTTAGATGGAGGTAGTGTGCAGGACACTTTAAAAAACATTACACAATCAAGGAAAGTAGACAGTTTTGCAAAAAGGAATTCCTATGTGCCATACTTATTGGACAGCATCAATGGATTAATCCTGGGTAAAGTCACTGGTGCATAAACAGGGAGACCAAATGATCAGAATGGAAAGCGAGGCACTGGGTAGCCACCTCGTCACCCAAGACAGCTGGTGGAAGTGGGACAACACGCACTCACTCACATACCCACCCACATTCTCTCTCCAACCCAGTCCCCAGTCCGAGTCAGAGGCCAAATCTGGGGATCAGCTGGCCAATGTAACTTACTATCAATGTGGAATATGGCTTTATCTGGAATCTTACTTGGAACATTCTGATTGCTACTACACAAGATGGTGCGTCTCCCCCTGTTTGAGTCTGTGACAGTGCAGACAGCAGCTCCAGCAGTTTTACTTACCTTTGATAAAAGCTTGAGCACATTCCTCTGCATTCCTCACCAGTGCATCCGCATTCTCCACAATACTGGGCAGCCTGGCATACCAACTCCTCAGTACATCCTGCAAAACAACCATAACAAATCTCAAAAATGGCAATCAAAACTACTTCCTGATTGTTCACTTCCATCTGGCCCAGACAAGGGACTTTATGCTGTGCAGTAAACCTTCTTTCCCAGTTTTACAGTCTAAGAAAAGTGCTCCAGTGGAACGTCTTAAAAACTTATTCTTCATTCATCAGCTTTGGCTAAGGCACACAGGTCAGCACTTACTGTACAGCAAACATTTTATTATCCAGCGCCTATGGGACCAGGAGTGGACTAGTTGATCAAATATTCTGCTTGATCAAAAGGTCCATATAATTAATGTAAAACACACACTAAGTCATAGAAACATAATGCAGGAGATATGCACATCATTGTTATACTTTATTTACAGCATTAATCGCTTAAATAATAATGCAACTTTGCCTTAAATAAAACTTAATCAGGAGAGCACATTCTCACTTGCACTCTCAAGTGACTACTCGTAGAACGCAGTATTTGAGGAGAAATTGACTTGAGATTGAATCAACTGTTGATATTTTATGTGGCCATTCAATTGAAAAACATGTTTATTTACATTGAGGTAAATCAATTTAAAAACTATAATAAATGAATAGGATAATACTGTAAACTTCGCAGTATTTGAGTTATATAATTTTTGCCAGTTTATCAAGAGTGCCAGTTCATAAGGTGTTGGATAAAACAAAGTTTGCTGTATATCTATAATTGCCCTTGAGAAGATGGTGGTGAGTTGCTGTCTTGATTTGCTGCACTTTTTATGGTGCAAGGGCACCCACACTGCTGTTAGGAAGGAAGTTCCAGGTTCTTGACCCATTGACAGTGAAGGGACAGTAATATTATTCCAAGTCAACTGTATGTCTTGGAGGGAAATTGTGGATGGTGATGTTTCCATGTATCTGTTGCCCTTGCCCTTCTAGGTGGTAGAGATCTCAGAAGATGCTGTATGATAAGCCTTGGTGAGGTGCTCCATTGCATTTTATAGATCACGCTGCTGTCATAGTGGAGATGTTAGAGGGGGCACCAATCAAGTGGACAGTTTTGTTCTGGATAGTGGTGAGTTTCACTCAGCCAGGGAAGCGGACAGGTTTCCATCACATTCCTGACTCATGCCTTGTCAATTTTGCATAGGCTTTGGGGATTCAGGAGGTGGATTACTTGCTTCAGAAGCCTCTGACCCAACTTCAAGCAGGTGAAAGTGTTGCCCCAGATTGCTGTTGACTCCAGTTTTGCTCAGGCTCTTGTGTGCTACACTTGGTCCAAATGTATCCTTGATGTCGAGGGTAGTCACTCTCACCTCACCTCTGAAATTCAGTTCCTTTGTCCGTATTTGAACCAAGACTATAAGTCCAGGTTCAAGTGGTCCAGGTGGAAGCCAAAATGAGCATCTGCGAGCAGGGTTATTGCTGAGTAAATGGCCCTTTAATTAGTCTGTGGTGAGATCTCCATTGGTCTCCAGCAGGAAGTGCTGCTGACCTGTCGGAGGCCAGCACCTCTGCTCCTGGCAGTAGCATTAAGAATGGTACTCTACTCTGCAATGACAGCGAGGCTAAGGAACGGTGTTAAGTGATGGACCCGACGTTTAGCTAATTCTGAGATCTTACTGCCCAGGCCGACAGGCTGCAGGGATCACGTTGGGGGACGTGGAGAGGCAAATCTATCTGGAGAGCCATCCCAAACGACCCCAGAAGCTAGCAAAAAGCCCTCCTCCCATCCCTTTTAACTGGACAGCTGCCCGTAGGGTTGTGCATGTGACTCTTCTGCTGCCCATTACATCAAGAGGCATGGATTGCCCATCTAGCCACCTTAATTGGTTTGTGTGCAGGTGATCACGCAGCACCTCCCCAGCCACTCTCAGAATCGTAATGAACATGGTCAGACCAGTGCCAATAGTCTGCCAGGCCCCCTGTACCATTTCAGCTGACAGTCCCCTGAGGGCAGAGGGCACGGTGCTAGATTTGTAACACTGTGGTATTTGGGTCCTGAGAGGCAGACTGCTCCCAGGGCCTGACTGTTACGTGATGATTGGGTCGAACCTGCAGAAGGTTGCGTGCAAGTCGTGTCTTCCCCGTGTACACCAGCAGCAAGTGGTCATTCAGACTTTTCACAAAGGTATCAGTCACTGCAATGTGCTCAACTTCTACTCGCAGTGGCAACTGGGGCTTGGACCGACCGATCTTGATACCAGGCACCAGACCTCCAACTTGGTCCTGCCAACCTCCACCTAGAAGAGGAAGGAATGTAAATAAGGAGAAAGAAAGATATTTTTACACCACAGGATGCCCCAAAGCCAATGACACACTTTTGAAGTTGTAATGTAGGAAACACAGGGGCTAACCCCATTCAATTCCTCAATCACTCCCAGTACACCCTCCATTCCCGCAGCAGTTTTCTCTGTAAGCACCGGAGATGCACACCTACCCTTTAATCTCCTCGTCCTTTACCATCAAAGGTTTGAAACACTCCTTTCTGGTGAAACAGTGTTCTACTTCTTTCAATTTAGTAAACTGTTGTCACAATTTAACTGGGAAGAATGCACTGACAACAGGGCCCCACTGTTCCACACACCGTCACAAAATCTCAGCGTAACCACCAAAATGACCAATCTGCCTGACAGACTGCTATTCAGGACAAAATCAAATCACACTAGGTTTTGTCAGTAATGGGAAAATAACTGTTATATATTTAACTTCACCAAGATCATAGAAAAGAAAGGATATCTTTTCTATTACAATGCAACTTAAACTGTACCCTTTCAAAACACCCAGCTACACATATACTCAATCACGATTAAGACAAACAAAATGAGGGCTCAGGAAAGTCCTAACAACTGCGAAGGACCTGAAAGAAGTCTGTGCACAGTTAGTAGTGTAGTACAGCTGACTGGGGTGAAAGGCTCACAAGCAGGAAAACCCAAGAACGTAGCTAGTTTGGTGAAGCTAGCAGTCTGCAAAAAGTTGGTGTTGTGTCTGTGAACAAGTTTGGGACTGCGCTTTCAGAGTCCAGGGGAGAATGGAACATATAGAACAGGAACAGTTGTTGAGACATCCATGACACAGCAGCTCTTGAGAGGATGTTTGAGACTAGATTGGCAAAAGTGATCAATAGATCAAAGTAATCAAAAGTAATCTGTGGAACTCATTGCTGCAAAGGGCTGTACAGGTCAAGACACTGAGTATATTTAAGACAGAGATACATAGGTTCTCGATTAGTAAGGGGACGAGGGGTTACAGGGAGAAGGCAGGAGAATGGGGTTGGGAAACATATCAGCTGTGATCGAGTGGCAGAGCAGACCTGATGGACTGATTGGCATAATTCTGATCCTATGTCTTTGTTATCATGTATGTCATTCTGTTTCTTGGAGTCTGTACTGCCTCTCTGATCATTTTAACTGAGTGTCAATCTCTTACTTTCCCCCATAATCCTGCACATTGTTTCTCTTTAAATAATTATCCTTTGAATGCATCAATGGAATCTGTCTCCATCACACTCCCAGTCAGTGCATTCCATACCCTAAGAACTCGCTGAGTCAAACAGCTTTTTTTCTCATCCTGAATTGGCTTCTTTAGCAACATACTTTAAAACTGTGCTGTCTGGCTGACAACCTGTTTATAAGCAAGAACACTTTGTCCAGACCCCTTGTGATTTTTGAAAACTTCTATCAAATCTCCTTTTAGCCTTCTTCTCTCCAAGGAACAGTCCCAACTTCTCCAAACTTTCCTCATCACTGAATTGTCTCATCCCTGGAACTGTTTTTGTAAACCTCTTCTCCATTCTCTCCAATGCATTGACATCCTTCCTATATGGTGGTGTCCAGAAATTTACACAATACTCCAACTAAAGGTCTCATCAGTGTCTTACATAAATTCATCATAACCTCCCTGCTCTTGAGCGCTATCTCCCTATTTATGGTTCCAATTCTATCTTGTATGCTTTTTTAACAGCTCTCTCCACGTCCTGCCATTTTTAATGATATATATATACATCCAAATCTCTCTGTGCTTGCCTTTAGAATACTACTTTCTTTTATTCTGTCATGCCATGTCATTTGTATCAAAGTGTATCATTTCACGTTTTTCTGCATTGATCTTCATCTGCCCACTCCACCTACTTGTCTATGTCCTTTTGAAGTTCTGCATTGTCCTCCTCACAGTTTACAATTCTCCCAAGTTTTCTTTCGTCCCCTGCACACCAACATCTAGATCATTTATATAGCAGGGAAAGAAAGTTCCAATAACAGCTTGTGGGGAACTCCACTGCAAACATTCCTCCAGCCCAAAAAGTACCCTTAACCATTAGTCTATGTTTTCTATCCCTCAATTAATTTTGTACCCATGCTGCAACTGTCCTTTGTATTCCATGACCAATAACTCTCCTCATAAGTTTATTGTGTGGCACTGTACTGAACGTCTTTTGAAAGTTCACATATACTACATTAACAAAGTCTCTCTCATCAACCCTGTGTTACTCTTCAAAAGACAACAGCAAGTTGTTAGACACAATTTTCCCTTAAAATCTCCAAGCCAACAGTTCTGAATAAATCCACATTCTTCCACAAAACTAATAATTCTACCTCAAATAATTGTTTCTAGACGTTTCCCTACTACCAAAATTAAACTGATTGGTCTGTATTTGCTGCTACATCACTGAATCCTACCCCTGCCTGAGCTAACGTGCACTGAAACCATCATCGATGTCTGTGTTACCTCCAGACCTGACAATTCCAAAGCATTCCGATCTGCCCTCCCATACCCTACCCTCTGTAGACATGTCAGCATCCAGAACCCTGGCTCCTGTGCCTAAACTTACATCAGGTCCCATTCAGCCATCAACCCTGTGCTCGCTGACCTCACTGGCACCTGGATAAACAATCCTTGATTTTAAAATTCTCAGCCTTAGTTTTAAACTCCTTCATTGCCTAATCCCTTCCTATCATTGTTATCACTCCCAGCCCGACAACCCCATGAGGTAATACTGCTCCTCTAATTTTGGGTGTAGGAGTATCCTGGATTTTAATCCTGATACCATTGGCGCCTGTGCCTTTAGCTTCCTGGTCCCTGAAGTCTGGAATTTCCTCTCTCCACCTCTTTCTTCCTTTATGACCTTCTTAAAACCTAACTCTTTGACTGAGTCTTACACCATCAGCCCAAACATCTCCTAACTTGGCTCAGAGTCAAATTTTGCTTTAATCTGCTCGTGTAAAGCTTCTTGGGTTGTCTGATTAGATTCAACACACTACGTAGATACAATGTGTTGTTGTTTTAGTTGTAAATGAGCCTGGTTGAACACTGTAACTCTCAAGGATTAGACTAGGATGTTCATGGAGACCAATACACCCCTTTTCAATAAACCTCCAATACACTAACCCACTTACTCACCTTCCCCCTCAATCCATTCTCCTTCAAAATTCTCTTGTACACTTCTTTTTCAAGCCAATTGTTTCACAACTCTGTGTGAATATCATCTTCAAATTCTCTTCCTGCGTCTAATTGTCAACTTGTCTGTCCTCAGGAATTGAATTCCTTCACCATATTAAACCATTTGCCCAGATTAATTCCCTCAATAACCTTGGAGACCTGGGATGGTGCGTACCCGTCGTCAGCATTTGCTCCAGGTGAAGAACGGCATGGATGAGGGATGAGGTGTCGTAGGTCTTTCCAGCGGCTGTGATCAGAGCTGCCATCACTGCCCCTGCAAGGATACTGCTCGTACCTAACAACAACAAACACCAACAATAAAGAGCGGACAACCCAGAACATCACTGCTCTCCTTTAGCAAAACCTTTTAAGCATTACTTGTGTGTCACTCACAACTGAAGAAAATTACAATTACAAATCCTCAAGATTCAACAACAACAACAACAAAAACAAAGTTGCTGGAAAAGCTCAGCATTTGTGAAGGAGAAAACAGAGTTAATGTTTCGGGTCTGGTGACCCTTCCCCAGGTTTGAATTCTCAAGATTCAACCTTGGGCTTGTGCCAACTCAAGCAATGTTAGTGGGGTCAGTGGTGAGAAAGTGTCGATGGATTTAGAGGACAGCAGTTGAAGGAGTGCAAAATCAGTTTGAGATTGTGCTCTCATCAAATGTATACAACTGCATGAGAGAGAGTGTACACATGAGATTCCACGTACAGCATCTGTGTATGCACGCATGTCAGGGCACAAGCAGGAGTGTGACTGTCAGTGAGTGAGAGCGACATATTTTAATCATTACAAGGAAAGTGGGAAGTTACTGGTGTCTCAGCAAGTTCAGGAGTTGATAAAATGAATGAGAGAAGTGATTTTTGAAAACATCCCAAAGTAAGATCATAGGGGAAACATAAATTCATCAAGAAGTTCTGGGAGCCAATGCACATGGAAAGGCAGCATTGTATTATGGAGGACTAGGTAAGTATTTTTGCTGTCAAACCTTCAAAGTACAGGTCTTAAATTAAAATGATGTTCTATGACTTAATAGTAAGGCTAAGGGCCTTATATATTTAATATTCTTTAAACTAGACAAAGAAAATGGCTAGAGAGTAATTTATGGCTAAGTCATGGCAGGGCAGCTTGGCCACATGGAATGTTGCTCCTGTGTCATGTGGGAAGTCAGGGACACTTTCAGCGTCCAGAGTGATCACTTGTACAATAAATGTCTTTAATTGCAGCTATTCAAAATCCACATTTTAGATCTGGTACAGTAACTGGAGTCACTGTGGAGCACTTGCAAGGCTGAGATTTGTGGATAGTGTATACAGAGAGGTGGCCACACGGCAGGTAAAGAGTGCACAGGCAGAAAAGGAATGGGTGAGAGTAAAAGCAATGAACAGGCAGTGCATAAGTCTCTTGGGTTCAGCACCCACAAGATTTCCTACTTTGGATACTGCTGGAAGAGATGGTTTTTTAGCAATAGCTATGTTCCTAACACTATGAATCATAGAATTCCTACAGTGCGGAAAGAGGCCATTCAGCCCAACGAGTCTGCACTGACCTTCTGAAGAACATCCCACCCTAACCCTGTAACCTTGCATTTACCATGTCTAATCTACCTAGCCTGTACATTCCTAGACACTGTGGGCAATTTAGCATGGCCAATCCACCTATACTGCACATCTTTGGATTGTGGGCGGAAGCTGGAGCACCTGAGGAAACCCATGCAGACACGGGGAGAATGTGCAAACTCCACAGAGACAGTTGTCCAAGGATGGACAAGGGATGAACCCGGGTCCCTGGCTCTGTGAGGCAGGAGTGCTAACCACCAAGCCACCGTGCTGCCCTGAGTGGCTCAGTTGCACAGGCTGGAGGGATAAAACAGCGGGAGAGCAATAGTAACAGAGAATTCTAACATAAGAGGAACACACAGACATTTGTGGGTTCACAGTTGTGATAGCAGCATGGTATGTTGCCTTCCTTGTGCCAGAGTCACAGAAATCACTGAAAACTATAGCACGTTCTGAAAGGGGGGAGTCAACAGACAGAGGTTGTGATCCATGTTGGTACCAAAAACAGAGATAAAAAAGAAGCATGAGGTACAAAAACAAAATTGCTGGAAAAGCCCAGTAGGTGTGGCAGCATCTGTCAAGGGAAAAAACAGAGTTTACGTTTCAGTTCCAGTGACCCTTCCTCAGAACTGTTCTGAGGAAAGGTCACCAGACCCGAAATGTAAACTCTGTTTTTTCCTTCACAGACGCTGCCAGACCTGCTGGGCTTTTCCAGCAACTCTGTTTTTGTTCCTGATTTACAGCATCCTCAGTTCTTTCGGTTTTCAAGAAGTTTGAGGTCCTGCAAGCACATTACAGGCAGCTGAAAAAAAAATGTAAAAGCATTTGTGGAAGGCAAAGGAAATGAGAACCTATAGTAAATAGGGCCATAGCACAAAAAATTGTGTAAAAATCTTAAAAAGACAAATCCAAACTTACTGTATGTGAATGTGAATTCTACATTAGGTACATGAATTAATGGTGCAAGTAGCTGTAAATGTATAGGATATGATTGTGATAATAGAGGGTTGTCTACAGAGTGGCCAAGGCTGGGAACTGAATAACCAAGAGTGTTCAAATTGAGGAAGGTCAGGAGAAAGAAAAGGGAAAGGAAGTGGGATGGCATTGTTAGTGAAGGACAAAATCAGTGCAATAGTAAGAAAGGATATTGCCTTAGAAAATCTATATGGGGAATTAGTCTGGGTGGAGCTATGGAGCAACACATGGTAAAAAAACATTCATGGGAGTTGTCAATCAGCCTCCAAAACAGGAGTAGCTAGATAGAGGTGACATTAAAAATGAAATTAAGAGATGTTTACAGCAAAGATGTAATCATGGGTGACTTTAATCTACGAGTAGATTAGGTAAACTACATTCGCAAGAAGATAGCAGATGAATTCCAGAAGTATGTACAAGATGGATTTTAGATCCATACATTGAGAAATCAACCAGGAAACAAAGATTTCCAATATTTGGTATAATGCTATGAGAAGGGGTTAATTAGTGATCTTGTTGTGGGATTTCTTTAGGGAAAAGTGACCATAACATGATAGATTTCTTTGTTAGGATGGAAAATGATGTAGTCCAACACAAAACTGATGTTCCAAATCTAAACAAAGGACTGCAAGCGATGATGGAAAATGGTCTCTTGGCATGAGATGCTGCTACTCACAGATTTATTTTATGGTTACTCACCAAGGCCAGATCCATGTGGGAGACTGGACCAAGTGTGAAGCTCAAAGCCACCACCAAACCCTGACATTAACTGATCCTGCAGTGAAACCGGTGAAGGGTAGTGTATAATTTCTGTGCAGATAAAGGCTGCTTTCAACAAGGCACCTGTCAAACGATGGAACATTTATTATAGAACACAACAAATGTAATCATGACAGAGATGGAAAAGTGGTAGATTTTATATTGTAGATAAAAGTCAGAGGGGCACGTGTAAGAGAGGGGAGATGAGGAGTGAGAGGGTGAAGGAGATTAGAGGTAACAGGTTCACAGAACAAAAGGCAAAATGACAGGTAATGGTTGTACAGAAGCAAAATAGGTCCAGAGCAGGTATTAATGGCAGAATCTACTGAAAACAAAATAGAGGACAGAGCTGATAGTCCCATAATTACTGAATTCAAAATACTGTAATGCAGCTACGAGTCACAATTAAGGTACTTAAAAAGGCATTCAGCCTTTATTTTCACACTGTAATAAAATGTTACAAATAGCACATAGGACCCAGGTTGGGGGCTTGGCAACACGTTAGAGGGGGCTTCATGGTGGGAGGGTGGGTCACAGTGCTACTGTCAGATTTTGCACACTCTCCTGTATAAAGGAGCAGAATGGTTGTACATGGCTCATCCCTAACCAAATGTAGCAATCTGGGGGGCATTTTCCTGGGGACTGATGGCCCTGACAGTTCTGGCCTGTAGCCTTTACATGCCATTTAGACCATTGGGTTAGTGCCTTCATCATATGGTTCTCTCTTGCTCTCTGTCAATCCGAGTAGCACACATCTCTCCCATTGGAGCTGTCAGCCAGCCCTCCCTAGGGCTCCTTGGATTGGTCTTCTCATGTCAAAGCTCCCTCCACCAGTCCTTATTGGATGACACATATGGAGGCAGCCAACTAATCGGATACTTCCTGTGAAATTGCGTCAGTAGACATCCACAAAACAGAGGCTCGGAATCCTGAAATAGTCCCAATGTCAGTTTTCTGATACCAGCAGGGAAGTTCAGCCCTGTGTGTCCAAGGGCCATGTGTTGACAGGAGGCATCAGAGCCAAGCCTGACCCTGTCCTCTAATGCACAGAACTGGAGTTAGCGATCAATGGCAGAAATCCGAAGTGATGCCTAAATAGACTCTAGAGCCACTGCATAACATGGCAAGCTATTTCACACAGAAAAGCTGAAGTATACACACAGCCTACATGTGAAGTGGAATAAATTCAAAACTAAGCTAGGGAAACAATAAATCATTGAGTGTTCAGTCAAGGAACAGGCTCCCTAGGGTGACAGTGAAAGCAGTCAGTTTTGATTGTGATGGATAATGATCTTTTTTATCCATACATTTCTCCTCTTTAAATGTTAGGCTGGTTCATAATGCACTTTCTACCATGTTGGAATCTCAGTATGGAGAGGAGACAGACCATGACCAGCCAGCTTGGTAGGCTACAGGCAGCATATCTACCAGCCTTTCTGTCGAAGATACCTGGTGCACGTGGCTGAGAGTAGTCCCGCAGATCCTCCAGAGTCTGACACACTATCTCCATGCTCATTCCTGTCTCTTTGCCTCCACTGTTCAGGACTAAGTGCAACTTGGGCTCTGCTATGCGACGTACTTTTGCACCAATCGGTTTGCACTTGTCCACTAGAATGGCAATATCCAGCACCACTCCTCCATGCTCATACGTTATTGGAGGTGTGTCACTCCAGCCACCTGTGGGAGGGAGTTACATATCTTAGGGTTGGGCATCGAGTCAATGATAGAGTCACAGAGAGGGAAGAGAATAAAAATTACAGAAGGTTTAAGAACAGATTTCTGCAGCTCACTCTCTTGGATCAGAAAATAGATCTGACAGATTAAGAGGGAAAGCCACACCACAAGCAGGATGTCACTTTTACATGTTCACAGAAAGATCTGCAACACCGGAGCCTCAAATCTGAAACTTGTGCCCCTTACAGATGCAGCTCCCCACAGTGAGGGTAAAGTTAACTCTTACTCACTCACTCTGATCCCTTCGATTCGTATTGCTTCATTCATTGATCCAATTTCCATAGAATCCCTACAGTGTGGAAACAGGCCATTCGGCCCAACAAGTCCACACCAACTTTCCAAACAGCATCCCACCCAGACTCACCCAGCTACACTATCCCCGTAACCCTGCATTTCCCAGGGCTAATCCACCTAATTTACATATCCCTGGACACTGTGAGCAATTTAGCACGGCCAATCCAGCTATCCCGCACATCACTGGACTACGGGAGAAAACCGGAGCACCAGGAGGAAACCCACGCAGACACAGGGAGAATGTGACAGACAGTCACCCAAGGCTGGAATTGAACCTGGATCCCTGGCGCTTTGAGGCAGCAGTGCTAACCACTGAGCCACTGCGCCAAATCTTCATAGTTTTGTTTCAATCACTAATTGACTTGACTGAATTCCACAGCTTCATTCATGGACTGCAGCCAAGAAGGCAGCTCAACACCACTTTCTCAATGGCAACAAATGCTGGCCAGCCAGTGATGCCCGCATCCCACAAGTGAATAAAAAAAAAATCACAACTCTGTGCACAAAAATATTCCTCCTTCCCTCTGTTCTGAATCACTCAACATGCAATCTTATAACTACTGTCTCTTCCTTGATTCCTCATCTACTGGGAGCCGTTTGCTGCAGCGGTCCATTATATTTTATACTTTTTTTCTTTATTCATTAACAGGGTGAGGGTGTTGCTGGCTAGGCAGCATTTATTACCCATCCCTAATTGCCCAGAGGGCAGTTCAGAGTCAACCACATTGCTGTGGGTCTAGAGTCACGTGTAGGCCAGACCAGGTAAGGATGGCAGTTTCCTTCCCTGAAGGACATTAGTGAACCAGATGGGTTTTTCCTGACAAATCGACAATGAATTCGTGGTCATCATTAGATTCTTAATTCCAGATATTTTTATTGAATTCAAAATCCACTATCTGCTGTGGTGGGATTTGAACCTGGGTCCCCAGAACGTTACAGAGATAGTAGGAACTGCCGATGCTGGAGAATCTGAGATAACAAGGTGTACAGCTGGATGAACACAGCAGGCCAAGCAGCATCAGAGGAGCAGGAAGGCTGATGTTTCGGGCCTAGACCCTTTT